CTACCCAGCCGATCTGGCTTATAACATCTTTTTCTATAGCCCAAAGGACCAGATAGATCAGAGGTCTCAAGCAAGTGACCTAGGGGTCAAAGCTGACCCACAAAAGCGAGTTCTTTGGCCTGTGTAGTATTTTTTAAGTTAACCAACATTTAAAATATAGAATAATCCAGGTTGATGACTTTGCTCAAAAAAATGAGAACTTGCCGTGCAGGAGCCACCTATACTTCCCTGCTTAAGACACTCTAGGGGTTCCCAGTACCCCTAGGATAGGCCCCCGCTTCTCCCCCATGGCCTGCATGCTGGGCTCCCACCTGCCTCCTCCCTCTCTCCCTTCCAGTTCATGGCTGCCTCAGCTGTTACCTCCTCAGACGGGCCTTCCTCGAACATGTGTCAAACCAGCTGCCCACTCCTTTGTCTTCATAGCATCTATTATTATTTGAAATTACACAACTTATTTCAACTTATGTCTATTCACTGCTGTATGCCCAGTACCAAGAACAGTGCGTATGTGCTAAATAAGTGTTGAATTAATAAATGAATTCCTGCCCTGGCCCTGGTCAGTGTGGTTCAGTTGGTTGGAGCGTTGTCCTGTGCACCGGAAGGTTGCAGGTTCGATTCCCAGTCAGGGCAAATACCTAGGTTGCGGGTTCAATACCCGGTCAGGGTAAATATGGGAGGCAGCCAATCGATATATATCTCTCACACTGATGTTTCTCTTTCTTTCTCTCTCTGTCTCTCTCTCCCCTCCTCACTTCTCCCTCTCTAAAAAAATTAAAAAAAAAAAAGAATTCCTAATTAGCTAGTAGAACTTAGTGCTAGAAGGGGCGATTGCTCTCTAGTTTACCACAATCCCCACCGCTCCCACTTGTCTCCCTCACCCTGAGGATGTCAGGAGTCTTGAATCATCTCACTCTGCTGTTTTTCTTATGGGAGAAAAATACTTATCTGTGCCCATATCACCATCTAGAGGCAAAAAATGAAGATGGACACAGTCCATACCGCTCAGATCTGACGCTTGCCTAATCCTTGTAAGCAGTGACCTTCCAACTCATTCATTTTTTATGCTGCTGAAAACCAGATCCAAAGAATTCTCGGCAGACCTCTCCTGTGCTTCAAACCTACCTCACAGCCCTGGCCGGTGTGGCTCAGTGGTTAGAACGTTGGCACTGAAGGGTCACAGGTTTGATTCCGGTCAAGGGCACCTACCTGGGTAGCAGGTTTGATCCCTGGTTCCGGTCAGGGCATGTGCAGAAGGCAACCAATCGATGTGTATCTCTCATCTCTCCCTCTCTCTCTCTCCCTCTCCCCCCTTCCCTTCCATTCGCTCTAAAAAAAACCAAAAAAAAACAAAAAACAAAAATCAATGAAAAAAATATCCTCCGGTGAAGATTAACAACAATAAAATCCTGTCTTACAGCTGCTCCCGGACATTCCCCTGTAAGTCCCACAGGCACCCACTTGACCTTCCTAAAACCCAGTGCCCACCATTATCTGTAAAACTACCCCACCCCTTGTGTCCCCATTTTGGTGATGACCCCCACAAGCCCCCCAAGCTCCATAAGCCCAAAGCCTGAGGACCTAGTGGTGAACAGTAGGAGCTAAGTCCCCATCCAGGGACCTAAGGTCTAGGTAGAGACTCGGAAGTGTAAAGGGCTGAGTGACGTGCGTGTGGTTAGGGAAAAGCAAGAGACTGTGGGGACCCCGAGGGAGCTGGTGGACAAAGAAGGCTCATGGGGCAGGAGGAGGCATTTAAACTGCCACCTGACGGTTGAAAGCAAGCCAGGCAGGAGGGTCTGTAGGGGCCTTGGTGAGACAGATGTGAAGCCATGGAGGGACCCAAAGAGGTGGCACACGTGTACATGTGTGAGCGAATACGGGTGTATTGCATGTGTGCATGAATGTGTGTGAGTGCAATGGATGTGTGTGCAAGTGAATATGGGTGTGCACGTGCATGCGTGTGCATGTGCGTATGTGCATGTGTGCATGTGCATGTATGTGCTTTGGGGAGGGAGTGCATACTGAATGATACAGCCGGCAGGTCAGTGAGTCTGCAGGAGCTTCAAAGCACATTATGGAGTTAGACTTGACCCTAAAGGTAACGGGGTCATTAAAGGTTTCTTTCTTTCCTGTTTTGTTTATTATTATTATTATTTTTTTTTAAATTCTCACCTGAGGATATTTTTTCCATTGCTTTTCAGAGAGAGTGGAAGGGAGAAAGAAAGAGAGAGAGAGAGGGAGAGAAACATCGATGTGAGAGACACATTGGTTGCACACGCTTAGGGATTGAGCCTGCAACCGAGGTACATGCCCTTGGCCAGAACTGAACCCGGGACCCTTCAGTCCACAGGTCAACGCTCTAACCACTGAGAAAAACCACCTATGGCCCTGTTTTGTTTTTTAAAAAGTCATAACCCAAATTCAAACTTTACAAAGGGGCATACAAAAAAATCTCTTCCACTTCCAAATCCTTGGTCTCACTTCCCAGAGGCAATCCTTACTAAAAATTTCACGGGCTTCCTTCTAGAAACATTCTCTTTATAACTAAACCATAGCTGTGAGTCTCCTTTTCCTTGGCTCCATGCATGGGATCCCACTGGCCATGCTGTCCCCTGGCTTTTTTCCCTTTTTTTATTTTGGGCATCTTTCCTCTTCACTCCACACATCCGCACAGCGGTGAGGGTTCCCAGGGGTTGTCCTGCATTGCCCGAACCCACGTCTTGGTTGTCTTATCACCAGCCATGTCCTCGAGCACCCTCTGTGCACCATCAGCCTGTTTTCAAGACCATCCCGGAGGTGGGCGTGCTGGCCCAAATGCTATGTGCACTAGGAACTGTGATAGGAATGATAAATGTCCTTCCAAAACGATTACAGCCAATTGACTTCCCCAGCAAGAGCCAGAGGAAGTGAATTGCACAGAAAGATCATTCAGTCACTCATTCAACAAATATTTATTGGGAGCTATGCTACTTGCTAGTCATTGACTAGCTTACTACTTGCTAGTCATTGCTCTCAACCCTGAGGACACATCAGTAAATGCAACAAACTCCCTCCGCCCCTTGCAGGACCTGACATTCTAATGGGAGAGCCAAGTCGTAAGCAATAACCAATGTAATATGTCAGAAAGGGACAGGTACTGTGAAGAAAATCTGAGCAGGACAAGGGAGATGCAAAGCTCCAGCCAGTGTTGGGACAAGGCTGTTTTATATAGGATGGGAGCAGACCATGCAGATATCAGGCAGAAAAGCACTCCAGGCAGAGGAGACAGCCAGTGCAAAGGCCCCAGGGCAGGGGGTGTTCGAGGATCAGCCAGGCAGCCAGTATGGCCAAAGCAGCATAATTGAGGGAGAGGTACTGGGGCCAGAAAATGCAGTCTCATGGGCCATTATAAGAAGGTTACTTTTACTTTGCATGAGGTGGGGAGACACTTGCATGGTTCTGAGCACAGGAGGGACATGATCTGCCTTGGGTCTTTTTTTTTTTTAATATCTTTATTGATTTCAAACAGAGGAAGGGAGAGGGAGAGAGAGAAACATCAATGATGAGAGTCATTGATCGGCTGCCTCCTGCACGTCCCTCCTCTAGGGATCGAGCCCGCAACCCAGGCATGTGCCCTGACCGGGAATCGAACCTCAATTGCCTGGATAGTAGGTCGATGCTCAACCGCTGAGCCACGCCAGCCAGGCTGCCTTGGGTCCTATTAAGATTCCTCTGCTGCTGTGTTGAGGTGTTTGAGGTGAAGGAAAAAGCAGGGATGATCCAGGTGGGAGATGGTGCAGGTTAAGCTCAGGGTGGTGGCCAGATTCTGGATATACTTTGAAGGTAGGTCTATTATGTTTTGCTGATATATGGGATGTAGGCTGTGAGAGAAAGTTAAGGGTGACACTAGGGATTTTGGGCTGAGCAGTAGCAAGGTGGCTTTGGAGATGAGGGCAGAAAGAGCAGGTTTGAGGCTTGCTTTGGCTGCCAAGTGTAACAGTTTCTCGCAGACCCAGCTGCCTGCCAGATCCTCTCCCTGGCTGTCCCCCAGGTACCACACACTTGGCTTGTCCAAAATGCAACTCCCCCTTCCCCCACATCTCCTGCCCAGCACCATTGCCAGGCAACCCACCCACCCCCAGCCAGAATCCTGTGGTCCACCCCCACCATCACCCCCTACAGCCAGCTGGTTCCTGTCAGTTTTCCCTCAGACCTCTTAATCCTGCTGGCTCCCATTCCCCAGGACCTTTCCTGTACCTCTCATCTAGACCATTGTAACTGCTCAGGGTCCACTGCAGAGAAGGGGCTGGGTGAATGAATGAAACACTGGATAAATGAGAGACTGAATGAATACTCGACCAGCCTCCTCATAAGTCTTGGCCAGTCCCTCTCCTCCAGCCCAGACTCCACATCAATCCAGAGCAATCTTTGAAAACACACGTCGGACTATGGCCCTTCTTTGATATAAACTGTTCACAGCTCCCCAGGGCCTACACAGACATAACTGGTGTCCTACCAACATATTTTGTTAAGCCCTCATAGTGGTGTTGTTGTTGTTTTAATCTTGAATTGATTAGGATATTTTGCATTAAAGTGCTGGGTTTCCCACTTCTCACTGGTACTACCAGGATGCATTTCTCCAAAGCAGTACTTGGTTGGTAGTAGTAGTTCCCCCCTTAGACAGGGCAGTACTCTCCAGTTTTCTATAGTCTTCACCACTCCCTATTATTTTATACTTAGCCTGCTTCCCTCACTTATATTACTACCTGGCCCCAATGGCATCAGAGTTTGTGACTCATGGGCTAAAAGGACAAAAGCATAATTTCTAGATAGCATGTTGCATGGAGTGGGCTGACAAGGAAGGTGTGACGGTAAAGGAAGTTGAAAAGTTAGACTACGGCCAAATTGTGAAGGGCCTTGAATGCCATGTTAGGAAATCAGGGTCACTGGGAGTAGTGAAGCAGGGGAAGGATGTGGATGGGTTAGTGTTTTTAGCCCACCCCCTCTGGACATGAGGGGACCAGATGGGGGCAGAGAACCTGGTGAGGAGGCCTGGCTGCTGGGAGGAGGGGGAGAGAGGAGGCCCAGGTGGAGCTCCTCTCGGTTGGGCCTCCCCTGAGTCTGAGCCTGCTCTCTCTGTGTTTCAGAACCTGAAAGCAGCCTGGGGCTGCAGCATGGTCATGAGGGCAGTTGGGCAGTGCTGAAGAACCAGCCTGGATCCAGTGGCTTCGAAAGGACTCCAGCCCTCCACGACCCCAGACCACAGCCCTCTGCCACCTACAGGATGGCAGCCTGGGGGCTGGGAGCCCGGCCATGAGGGATTACTGCCCCTCCCCGCTAAAGGCCAGCCCTGTATCCCCCAGGCACATCCCTACCCAAAGCCCAGGCATGGACTCTAGACACAGCAGCCCCAGTGGGGCTGGGGAAGGGGCCTCCTGTTCTGAGGGTCCTGGTGGGAGTTTGGCCTGCCCATCCCTGACCTACATCCCTTCCCAAGAGGCAGCCACCAAAGAGACAGTGGGAGCACAGGGAGCCTCAATCTCAGGAACACCAGAAATCACCTTCTCTGGGAAGCCAGAACAAGCGTCCTCAGCGAAAACTGATCCCTCATCCTTGGAGAACAGAAATCCTGTGTTCTTGGAGAGGATGGACTCCAAGTCTTCAAAGCAGTCAGATTCCACTTCCATAGAAAAGGAAGATGCCCGGTCTTTGAGAAAGGCAGATCCCGTGTTCATAGGAAAGACAGAGCCTGCAGTCTTGGGAAAGGGGGAACCTGTGGCTTCTGGAAGGATGGATCCTGGGACCCCAAGAAAGGAAGATCCTGAATCCTTGGGAAAGGTAGATCCTGCGTGCTCCAGCAAGGTGGGTACAGTGTCACCAAGGAAGAAGGATCCTATACCCTCAGCCAACGTGGATCCTGCATGCCCAAGACAGGAGGAGTCCCAGTATTCAGGACAAAAGCTGCTTGTGTCCTCAGAAGAGGTGGGTTCTGCATCTGTGGGCAAGGCAGATCTTGTGTCCTTGGGAAAGAGAGATCCTGGGCCCTCAGGAAAGGCGGATCCCAGGTCCTTGGAAAACACCGATTCTGCATCTGCAGGAAAGACAGATCCTGGGTCCTTGCGAATGCTGACTCCAGGGTCATCAGGGAAAATCGAGCCTATATCCCATGAAACTGTGGCTCTGGAGTCGACAGGAAGGAGTCGACTCTTGGAGACGACAGGTCCTGTATCTATGGGAAATGCAGAAACTGTGTCCTCTGCAAAAGAGGACCCTCAGTTCCTGGGAATGATGGATCCTGCCGCCTCAGGCCAGAGCGATCCTGTGTCTGTGAGAGTGACAAAAACCGGGTCTGCTGCACCGGTGGATGCTGGGGCTTTAAACAAGGCAGGTCCTGTTTCTTTGGGAAAGGTAGATCCTGTGTCCTCAGCAAAGCCAGAGCCCTTGTCTCCTGGGCAGGCTGAACTGACGTCTGTGGGAAAGACAGAAACTGTATCCTCACAAAAGGAGAGCCCAGTGTTTTCCAGAAAGATGGGTCCCATTATTTCTGTGGGAGATATAAAAACATCATCTTCTGGAAAAGTGAATCCTGAATCTTCAGGAAAGATAGACCCTGCACCCTCAGTTCCAGGGGATCCCAAGTTCTCGGGAACAGTGGGACCCTCATCCTTTGTAAAATCTGAGGCAGTAACTGGGGGGAAAGCAGCTCCACTGTCCTCAGAGAAAGCGGATCCTGTGTCCTCTGGAAAGGTGGGTCCCACAGCCTCAGGGAAGGCTGGTCCCCCCGCCTTGGGCAAGGTGGACCCTGTGAGCAGCAGGGAAGCAGAAACAGTGTCCCCTGGAGAAGTGGACTCCGTGTCTTCAGGAAAGGTGGCCCCCACAACTCTAGGGAAAACAGTCCTGGCACCCTCGGGAAAAGCCGTCCCAGAGGGAAAGGTGAATCCTCTGCCTCCAGAGAAGGGGAATCCTGTGAACTCCACAAAGTTGGAGCCCAGGGCCTTAGGGAAAGCAGAACCCAAGTCCCAGGGCAAAGCGGAAGCAAAGCCCCCTGAACATGAGGGCCCCACTTCATCCGGAGAAGCGGAGGCTGCCCCTCTGCAGAAGGAGAAACCGCTGGCCTTGGAGAAGGGGGATCCTGGGTCCTCAGGAAAAGCTGACCCTGTGGCCCCTGGGAAGGCGGAGCTTATGGCCCTGGGGAAGGCAGACTCCGCGCCACCTCCAGGAAAAGCAGAGCCCCCGCCCTTGGGGAATGTGCCCCCCCTGACTCTAGAGCAGGCGGGGGCCTCCTGGGGCCCCAGGAAGCCAGATGGCAAAGCCTGCGGCCCAGCCTCTCCTCC